CACCCGCGGCTATTTGAAGATGGGGGGACTCCACCACCAATACCCCCCAGCCCGGCATGGCTGGCTGGGGAGTCTTGGGGGTTGAGGTCCACATGTCTTAAAGTTGCCAAGGTTGAGAAACACTGACTTAAAGGATTGTTTGATACAATCAATAAGTCCCCCTTCTCCTCCTCCCTCCAGGAATTGCACCCTGATGAAATTGACACAGATTCTGCCTACATCCTTTTCTACGAACAGCAAGGAGTGGACTATGCACAATTTTTGCCAAAGATTGAGGGCAAGAACATGGCGGACACCAGTAGCATGGATGAAGATTTTGAGTCCGATTACAAAAAGTACTGTGTCCTGCAGTGAGCAAAACGGGTTTCTAAAGGTTGGTCCAAGGACATTGCACCGCTAGGTTGGCAAAAAAACAAAAAGGAAATATGGTTTTAACGGAGCAGAAGAGCTAGATGTAGTTTTTATTTTTTATTTTTTTATTTTCCCCCTGTGATCTGAAAGCACAACTCCAGGGAAAAAAAAAGCAGGGGGAGAAAGAGAAACCCTAATTAAAACGAACATTTATAAGATGGCACTGCTTTTGTTCCCATCTCTTGCTCCATGCCCAGAAAGTGGGGTGGGGGAACACCCATGGGTTAAATTGTTTTATTTTGCCGTCAGCCTTTAAGCTGGTTTGACCTCAGCCAACGAGGACTAGATATATTTAAAGTTTTAGATAATCCAGTTAAGAGCCAGAAAAACAGGAGACTGTTCTTTCCTTTTACCGATTTGCTCTTAGGGACGTCTGAAGTGAGGTGGGGTTGGGGAGAGAAATAACTTTTTGGAAGCTCTCTTCAGATTTCAGATGAGTAACTTGTAGTGTTGTCTGACAACATGAAATTTCTACCTCCTTTTTCTGAAGTTTTATTCCATTTCCGTGATGAGAAGAGGCACACACAGACTGCAGGAACAAGCCGCAGAAAATCCCCACCCTTTCCTCTCCCAAACTTTCCATTTTTTAACCTGCTGGTCACTTTCTCAGTTTATGTGTGCGTTAGCAGTCCCTTTCCCTCGCCTTGAGAGTAGAGGGTTTTTTTTGTTTTTTGTTTTTTTGACCCTGTGCAACCCTTTTGGCTGTTCAGAAAGGTTTCAGAGCAGCTTCAGCAGCCTTTCGGTCCTTGAAACACCCTGGAGATTTGGAAGCTGAGACGGCTCCAGGCTGTTGCTGGGGGCAACTAATGATTCGAATTGACCTCCAGTTTGAAGCACTGGATGGATCGGAATGCTCTCTGAGCCAAGTGTTTCTCCATTTACTAGAGGGTACTTGGGGTAAGAAATCTGCCCTGGTTCTGAAAATGTTTTCACTGTGTGGCTACGCTGTGCCCTAATCTTAAAACCTTCTTTCAAACGAAGCCAGCTCCTGACTTTCTAGTGTATTGCAGGCCTGATCTTGCAATCATTGTTTTGAGCCTGGGATAGGCAAATGGGGAGCCTGTCCCCCACCCCACCCCAATCTCTAAATCCCAAAGACGATGGAGCCTGGTTGAGTGTTTGAGCCAACCAAAAATGTAGCTGTGATGGCTGATGGGAAAGTACTGAAAGGAGGACTATTGGCAGGGATGTCCGTGGGGGAGGAGGGGTCAAAAAGTTCAAGATGGTGTCCATGACTGTGTGATCCAAATCCTACCCTTTTTTTTCCTCTTGGGTCACATGTGTGCAAGAGATGGGGCTTCAGAGGGGCAGTGGCAGCCACCATCTTGACTTTTTGGACCCCAAGCAGCTGCCCCTCGCAATGGAGATGGAGCGTGAGATCAACTGCCCCTTCCTCAATACTACTAACACCAGTCCTACATCTGTGGCAAACCTTCAGAAGGGGGAAAGTCCTCCCAATATTATTCTCTCTTCCTTGATTGGAGAGTGGCTGGTCATGATTGTTTTTATTTGCACTTTAACAATAAAAGCATAGCAGAGTTCATTTTATCACTGTAAGTGCTTTTGGAATGGGTGTGTGCCTGCCTGTGTGTGTCCTTTCCATTCACTTTATTTCAAAGAGCAAGGTAACACGTCTGAAGGATGATCATTGGCCATGGACAGGTGTTCGTTCTGCCACCCAACATTGTTCCTGGAAGGAATATTTATACTTCTAACTCACTCTGGGCATTTTGACGTTCGCTTGCAGTATCCCTTACCTTAACCATCTGTTGATGGGGATTCACTTTCCATTCTGATAAATCTTGGAAGCCACCCAGAGTCACGCAGTGAGATGGGTGGCCCTATAGATTTAATAAATAAATAAATTTGGTGGCCATCTCCAGCTGCCTGGGTGGAAGCTGATTAGGAGAGCAGGGTATCAAAGGAGTTGCGACAGCATTCTGATTTTTCAGGCAAGCTCTTTCGAGAATGTGATTGAAAATTCTCGCTGACTCTGCTTTTGCTAAGCCAGGACCAGCTCCGCAGCTGACGTAAATCAGACCCCCTTGTTCCTCACCTCTTCCAAAGCAGATGATTAAATAAGGTTGATCAGAGGTGGACAGGCCATAAGTTCTTCATCAATGAGGTGTCTGAACCAGCTGTTAGAAATCGAATACAGTGACATTTTAAAATAACAAGCAAGGTTGGTTTTGCCACTAATTGGGAAGCCTGTAGTAGGACCATGTGACTAGAAGGTTGGGAAGAAGGACCCGGTTGAGCAAGTGGCTTCTTTATACAAAATAAAATCCTTAATATAGCAGGGAGACGTCAATAAGGAGCCTTCCTCTTAACAAGCTAGACTTCTTACCTATATGCAGGATTTTATTCTGTCTTACTGAAGAGGAACACGCACTAATCTCAGCACTCCGCTCCTCTTTGAACTGGTCCCCTCCGAGCACGAGGTCGACCCCTCCCTTACTGGTCAAAAACTCACCCGATTTCTTTTAGCTAGTTTCCACGCGGTTGGTGCCCTGTCCCCCCCAGCCAGCCCCCTCAGCTTACCTGCATCAGGCTGGTCCTCTGCTGTCTTCTTCCAACTGCAGAGGCTACAGAAAGCTTTTTAAAACTTGCTTGTACCGTTTTCTGTCAGTTCCAATGCACCGTTGCTTGTAATCTCAGGTTGCAGAAGGGTTAGTCTCCTCTTGCAAAAGGGGACTTGGCGAACACGGAGGCGAGAGAAGGATTTTCATGTCTGATTTTGTGGAAGTCTGCAGTTTAGCCTCTGCGTTGGTAGGCGATAGAACGCAGCGATCGCCAGCAGTTCAGTGCCTGGGCAGCCCAGCCTTGCACCCAGGAGGATCTGACTCGCCCAAGTGACCTGGGTCCATCATGCAGCGGCCCGTACACCCAGTGGCCTGTGTGTGTGGCACCTGGTCACCCCCACTAGTGTGTGTGTGTTGAAGGGGGGGTCATTTCAAATCCAGGCCTTCTGCTTACAAGCCTCTGTGCATGGCAGAAGGTTGTGGCGCACCCTAAGGCAGGCGGGATCCCCAGTCTCTTAGCTCTACGTGCAGGAGCAGCCCACCAGCTGCCTTCCACCTGGCTCTGCACTCCAGCTCCCATAATCCCTGACCGTGCTGGTGAGGCCTTTTGGAAGTTGTAGTCCAGAGTATCTAATGAGGACTGGCTCCCCACCCCCTGTTTTAATGGACGCCACAGCTCAGCTGGATACTTTATTATCGCTACGGTTCCGTTTTGCCAAAAAGCAGGCATCTTGGTATGAATTCCATGAACTGTAATGTAGATTGTGGGGGAGCCAAATCCTGGGGGTGGGAGTGGGGGGAGATTCTCACAATGCATTGCTCCCCAAGTCCTTTTTCCTGACATCTCTGAGCATGGAGAAAATCCCTACTTTAAAATTGGGGGGGGGCAATTACCTCTATCTCTCGTAGAAGATTCTTCTGCGCACCTCTTCATATCTTCCTTTCTTTTCAAATGTTTTTTTTTTATGTTTAAACACATAGCATGATCGACTTGCATCATTTTTAATCTGCCATGCTTTGTTACATTGGTTGTAATTATTAATTTTTTTTAAGAAAAAAGGTTAAATTAATTCCTAAATTTAATAGGAAACAAATTTAAGTTAACTGTTTAACTATATTCACTCTGTAAATTATTGTATAAAACTTATTGACAATGCACTGAATTTAGAAAGACCATGTACATAAGTACTGTGTAAATAATTTAAGAAAAAGTATTAATGTATTGGGATATGAACTGTATTAAAAAAAAAAAAGTCCAAGTAACTGTATATGGAGTGAACCTGTCTATCTGTAAGTATATTATTCCAACAAATTAAATACTGTGGATGCAACTCACTGTATTGATCAATTCATCATTGCAACATTTGAGGGGGCAGTTTCTCTAGAAATTAAATTACTGATCAGTTTTGATAGGGAAATGATACCATGAGGTGACATTCCTCCATGATTATCCATTATCCAAAAAACAAGTCTTCTCATAGAATCGGTGCAGCAGGCAGAAAGACCCATTAAAGCATCTATGAAAAATGGCCATTGTAGTAAACTTATTTAAATCAAATTCAAATTTATTTCTTAGAGCCCTAACTATGTACAATCAGTAAAACCATAAAACAGGAATAAAATATTTGTTGTTTAGTCATTAAGTCGTGTCCGACTCTTCGTGACCCCATGAACCATATTGCG